GATCGTAAATCTGGCGCCCCCTCAACCATGTCTGAGGGTTTATATAAAAAACTGATGCCAATGGAGCTGGAAAATCCTATATCTCTTTAGAAGAAAGACGATGAGTATCGATCATCGATATGCATTTCAAAGAGTGAAGCAAGATGCATCTGTTCCTATTATAAAAACTTAGAAAGAAGTGTTTGATGTAAAAAATCTGAAGGGCGCAATGTATGGCTATATAGGCGAAAATGTATCTCTGACCACAAATGAGAATGACTTCAGGAATTTTTTTCTATTCAAGTCAAAGCCAAAAAAAATAGATGGAAGCATGTAAGAACATGTAAGCTTTCTTCTGGTATACGTTTGAGACAAGGTTGAGGGGGCGCCAGATTTACGATCTTATCCGGCGGGGTCCTTAAAAGACAAAATACAGGATTTTGTAGCGCTTGAGTTTCAAATGATATATTATTCGTTATATTTGAGCAAAAGAGTTTGAAGAAAAAAAGAATGCAAATGACCAGGCTATAGTGAACTGGCATCAATTTTAGGGAAAAAATTTATAAAAAGTCTGTTAGATAGAAATTTTTTCTTCCTTTTTTATATCCATAATAACTATGAATAATTGTGCATCTAAGCATACTTGAACCAAATTTTTGTCATTATTCCTGAATGACTTATGAAATATCAAAAATCAGCCGATAGACCGCAAATTTTGACCACAATCCAACGTTAAAAAATTCATAATTTCACCAATATTCATAGGACCGCCGAAATTTCTTCAAGATACGTAGTACTCAACGCACTCTACAAACTCGCATAATTTGAGGACAGGTTTGGGGGTAGTGATGTCGCGAGAAAAAAATGGACTCGGATGTTATTTGAATACCGTTTGAAAGAAAAGTGACAGAGACCTGTGATCTTTTTTTTCAGCGGTTCGGTAGTGGCATCTGACTTCACTGGAGTCCCAGAACTGGCATCCGGTGAGAGAGATTAGGGTAACCTTGAGATCGCATGGAACATACGGAATTGACCACGCTGAATCTTGTGGCAATGCTTGCTTTTTGGAAGAGTTCAAAGATCTGGTGAAAACTGAGTTTTACAAAAACTAGGGTTTCCAATTTGTTTTTACCTGATATTGAAAAATTTACATTTCATTCCAAAAACAACAGAACGAGCTCAAACCTTCAGGGTACTTCAAACATGTGAAACTCAAATTAAAGTGATTATATCATCGGAAAAGTCGAAAACAATATTTTTTCTCAAAAGCTTTTCAGAAATCCATTCGTAAAACCATCAAGTTTTGTAAACTTGTTTTCCTCGATATCTTATAACTGCGTTATAGAATAGCCTAAATACTCTACATTCTGAAGTTTTGAACTCGTTCTGTTGTTTTTGGAGTGAATTGTAAATTTTTAATATCAGTTGAAAACAACTTGAAAACCCCAGTTTTGTAAAACTCAGTTTTCACCAGATCTGTGAACTCTGCTTAAAAACAAGCATTGCCACGAGAACCACGACCGAATCGCTGAAAAATAGATCGCAAGTCTCTATCACTTTTCTGTCAAACGTTATTCAAAAAGCATCCGAGTCAATTCTTTTTCTTTTCCGATAATACACACACAAACAAAGCATTTGGCAGTGGCAAATAAGAGATTTTCTGAACATTTAGGGTGAGTACATGCTATACTATTGTCTTCCTGTGCTAATTCTGCAACGAGACTAAAATTGAATTTCTTGAGCTCTTGCGACTGGATGGTTATGAACGTATGATAAAATGACATTGTTATCCAGGTATAGTGTTTGAGGGCAACGACTTACTTATCAAAAATTTGATTATAATTGCAGCTGTTTTAAACTTCATTTTATTTAGTTGATATTTCGGCCTTTAACCGATCATTTTCAAAACGTTACAAAACTAAGACTTAGTTTTGTAGACGTTTTGAAAATGTTAGACTAACTTAGTTTTGTAACGTTTTGAAAATGATCGGTTAAAGGCCGAAATATCAACTAAATAAAATGAAGTTTAAAACAACTGTAATTATAATCAAATTTTTGGCATTGTTATCCGTTCTATGTTTTCAACCAAGACAAAATACGTAGATCGTTTGAATAAAATTTTGCAACTGAAGTATGTTTTAAACCGAACGTCCTTTCAGTACATCACATTTTGTTTATTATTCACGTTTTTTCATGTTAGAATGTTAGAGAAATGCTACTGCCACTGTTATAGTGTTCAACATTGCATTATCTTCTCTTGGTCAGTGTATTCACTTTTCACATTTCATCCTTCTTTATCGGTGTGTCTGTGTCGCAGGAGAAATGAAAATGCAGGACAATTGAAAACTTTCCTAGAAAATATTAAAATTTGATTTTCTCCTAAGCGAAATTAAAATTTTAACTTTTCCTTAGGGAAATTTTAAATTTTCCTAAACAAAAATGTTTAATTATTTATATGGGAAAAATTGAAATTTCTTTTGATGTCAGGTTGACAAGACAGAGAGAAAGAAGGAAACAAAAATTATGCACTTTTTTACAACTATTCGCTCTCTAGTTTATTTCTGTCTATAGATAAACATGAAATTTAGAAATTCTCTGCAAAACGAGAAATGAAAAATAAGATGAGAACTAGGCATTTGAACATGGGTTTTTTACTTGGATGACTGCACTGTGTTTTTGCTGCTAGACAGGAACATTTCTTTGTTGCACAGTTACCATTACAATTAAATGCTTCGGCAGGAGTCATTAATCCTGTACTGGCATAATCTTTACTAGCTTGAATGAAGAACCCAAAACGTAAATTGAGCGTCTCCCCAACCGTCTTGAAGAGCCAAAATTGAATCATCATACATCGACTGCTTTCGAAAACTTGTCTGGAAACTTGTGATTTAAAGACTCGACTCGATATGGTTATCGAGTAAAGTGTAGAAACGTTCCATCGTGACAAGAAAAAATCGACTTAACTGATGAAAACAATATTTAGTTATGTGCATGATTTTTGTTTCCTTCTTTCTCTTTGTTTAGTCAACCTGACAACAAAAGAAATTTCAATTTTTCCTATAGAAATAATTAAACATTTTTGTTTAGAAAAATTTAAAATTTCCCTAAGGAAAAGTTAAAATTTTAATTTCGCTTAGGAGAAAATAAAATCTTAATTTCTCCTGCGACATGTGCATAACATTTCTCTTTATTCAAGTAGTTTTAGTTCATGGTCAACAGTCATCACAATGGATTGGCACATTTAAAACGGATAACAGTTGTGATCAAAGTAAATGTTGTTGTCTAAATGGAACTGTAACAATTAGTGAACAGGATGCAAATAATCTTGAACTAGTTGCTCCATTAGCTGGTCAATGTGATTCACACAAAGAGATTGAAGTACCGTTAGTTAAACCAGCTGGATATATAACAACAATAAATTTTGGAGGTCAAACTTTTGATGCACAATTAACTGCCGATAACAAGACGATTAGTATTGTTTATGGGATGAACAACGTATGTAGTGTTAACGCCGTTCGTGATAGTGGTCAACAGTTGTCACAATGGATTGGCACATTTAAAACGGATAATAGTTGTGATCAAAATCTCTCAAAGTTTCTCATAATTTAGAAAGTTTAATTTCCGTAGAATTAGTTATTAAGATCAACGCTTTGGCTCTTGGTCTAGTAGCACAAATTAACAATTTCACAGTTGGGCATGTACAATTGTTTTTGTCGACCCACTTAAATGCACAGTGCCAATGTATAGAACTTATAGTGCTTCTGCTAGCAACAAACTAGATGTGTTGCTTGAACTCTAGAACACAAAAAAGAAGTTGTCACCCGATCTGCGGCTTCATGATCAAGCGTCTTGATCGGATGGGGAAAGGCGAAGATCTTTTCATTAAAGCTTAAGTTACCACAATAAATAATTAGATGTATTGGATATAATAATAATTACATCTTGGAAATATTGAAATTAATGAAGCTGAAAGAGAATCAACGTATATTAAAGTAAGTTCATACTACATGAGATAGAAAAAGTATATGAATTTGTCTCAATCAATATATTTCATTCATTACTTAACGAAGAACATTTTATTCTCGTTTTATTTCTCAGAATTCAAATAAACCATTTTCCATATTTTGTTCATTGCTAAACATTGATGAGAATCGTATGAAAGCATGGCTCTGTAGTAAAAAGTTAAAAACTGGTATTGATGTGTGTATTATGCCATTGAATTTACAGCAAGCCTTATTTGCTCGAGATGCATTAGCAAAACATATGTATTCACAATTATTTATATGGTTAGTGGAAGAAATCAATAAATCACTAGAATATGTTGGAAACAGACAATCATTCATCGGAGTATTAGACATTTATGGGTACGATTACCGATCTAAATGACGTATTTCTTAATCAGATAATAAACCAGGACTCGACTCGGACTCGACAAGCCCTGACTGAAAAAAGATCAAGAGACTTTACAGCAATTGTTTTTTAATGCAGCGTAATCTTTATAATAGTTTGTAAACGATAATGTAGAGTTGATTCTTCAATAATTACAAAGTATTGGGTAAATAATCTATTTCTGCTTCTTTATATTATTTACAAGACACTAGAAAAATGTGAGAGATAAAATTCTAATGACAGCAAAATCGATATAAACTAAAATGACTTTTAAATTAATAAATTGGTACATCTTCTTTCGTTTATTAGATCATTATTTATCTATTTAGTCTCTATAGATTTAACGTATTGTTTATTATGAATACTTCACAAAAATTAAACTTCGTTTTTTTAAAAGATTGAGGTAATTATTTGTTATTATTAACAAATTTTAGTTTTTTTTTCTGTCCCATAAGTCTTGTTTTGAATGTGTGCTCTTCGACTGAGTGAAATAGAGACGATGAGTTGAATTTTTTTTCTTTTATCGTTCGAATGCTATAGAGTCAGCCACTAGAACCTAATAAATTATTTAAAAGTATGTATATATAAAGCACTAGAAAATGGTGAGAGAGAAAAAAGAAATGAGACATTTTCATACCGTTATTTATGCCTCATAAAATTTTCTGAAATTTTTTGATGTACCGTTCATGTTATCAAAAAAAATAATTACTAACAACTGCTTTTATTAGCGATGTTGGTTTCTTTGTGGAAATTGTTCTATAATCCGTGACATGCAATGATTGTGTTTGTGAAACGACCTTCCTGAATAATTCTTGTTTTAATTATATTAATCAAGAAAAAAAGAAAGAAAGAAAGAGAGAGAGAGAGAGAGAAAAGATTTTCTGTTTATCTAATTCTTTATCAATCCAGGTTTTATTGTTGTTCATCCGTTTTCTACTTGTAGATAATTATTCAAATTTGTTGTAAACTCAGCTATTGAAATTATTTTAAATGAACTTGAAACACATGTACCAAATTTAAAACAAATTAATTTCTTTTCTGATGGCACAGCCTCACAATTTAAGCAACGTTTTATGTTTCGTAATTCAATTCAGATTGCTCATGAATATAAAATAGCTTTAAGTTGGAATTTCTTTGCTACAGGTCATGGAAAGGGTTGTTGATGGTCTCGGTGGAACTGTTAAGAGGCTAGCTTGGTCAGCAGTATTGACACGTGATAACTATAAATCACCGAATTTTGTTAAGTTAGCGCAACAGAAAACGAAGGTAATTATAATTGAAATTGAGAAAAAGAATGATATTGATACTTCAAAAATAACACTAGAAAATATATTTAAAGTAGCTAAATCTGTACCAGAAACACTCAAAACAAGTAATTGATAATATCTACGTTTTGAGCTGATTTAAAACTAACGTGTAAAAAGTATCACAGCGTCACGCTTGGACAAGCCGTTTAAATAGATGAAAGTAGAAATCTATAGTGGCTTTAGTAGATATGTTAAAAAATTGCTGAAAAGACCGAAATTAGGAATATCTGAGTTCGAACTGTCTCCTATCGAAAACAAATACTAACTCGGCAAAACGTTGACTGTCTCTACTTGATCTATCTGCATCATGATCTTTTTTTTGTGTGCTTAATCTATGTGTCATCGATAAAGCAACTTTTTACGCTTATAGGAACTATCTACAAAGGTTGATTAATTCTTGTGTGCCCAGTAGTATTTTTCTTTTCTTCTCTCGTTCTTCCTTAGCGAACGTGACTATATGTTTCTGTATGTGTATAAGAAAAAAGTACTAAATGCTAGATGTGTCTAATATTTTTCTTGAGAGTTTCGTTGCGGTCTGTACTTTCTATCTGTCACACATGTAATATCTAAGAAGTTATAGAGTTTTTATTCACGAGAATGCTAGACGTAAGTACATAAAGTATGTTTGTGTAATGTATGTAATTTACCTGTTAACGATAAAGTATCAGAGTTTCGTTTCAAAGCTCATTCGATAGAGAACATGAAACTCCATATGCTCACAAAATTCTACTTTTCGAACAAATTCTTTCAGCGCTTTTTATTGTTTTAAAGAATTTCAATAAAAAGTTCTTACTTGCAGTTGTTTTCGGACTGAAAAATGTTAATTCTTAATCGTTTTTTCGAGCTGAAAATGTGCAGTGGCAGTGAGAGTTATTCTGGAAGCTTGAAATATTCTCTAAGGTTTAGTGATTATTTTTTCAGGTACAAGTTCTAGTACAAAAACGAAGAAGATCTGCGGTTTTGGTCATTTTGTTAGCCGAAGACTGCTTTTTTATCCTCTACTAATACCATTCTGATGCATCATGTTTTACTTAGTCTTTTCTTCGAAATATCCTGCAGTCAGGACGGTACATAACAACGCTCACATTTCTATTATGGGAGATAAAGTTCTCTATATACATTACAGAGGTTCAGATTTATCCCAATATGGATAAATCTCAATTCAGTTAAGTTAATTACAATGACGGGAACATCTGTTACCCACACTTTGTTCAAAATGAGAAGGTCAAAGAAAAACGTTCCGTTACAAAACACATACGTAGACTTGTGGCACAAAAAACGTTTTAGTTTTTTAATTTTATAGTACTCTCTCAGAAAACAGCTATAGTTCGTCAGCATGTTCTGTCTGCTATACTTCATCTTTACACTTTTTCTTATTTACGGCAATTCTTCTTTTTAGCAGTTCTTAACGGCTGTTACAAATAAGAGAAACTGATGGGCTTTTTCACGTATGCATGAATCATGGATAGGTATATGAAATCCAGTTTGCTCTTTGTTATAGCCAATAAAATATTATGAAAATGCAAAGAATTTATTAAATATGTTACCATCGAGTTTACGCATAATTCTGTTGATAATTATTCTTGGTTATGGTATATTTACATCGTTAGTAAGAAAATCTCTTTATGAAATATCTAAACGTCCACCAGCTTTGATTCAACTACATTACAATTGGTATCTACAAATGGTAGTTCATGATATTGGCCGTGCTCAGAGTGTATTTAAATACTGCAATATCATAATGTTGATCTATGTAGGAGTTAGTAGCACGGTTATATGTGAAACATTACTGAGTAGCGTATATTCAGTCATAACGTTGAATATTTTATTAGTTGTAATCCAAGAGATTTCCGTTCAATTGTTCACCTCAAGAATTATACGATTATTTCATAGAAGAGAAATCAATGTGTATGTACAATTTATTGCATTGTTTTATCCAATGTTATTTTTTAATTTTATTGTAACATTCGGCGTACTTGTAATGATTTATGGCTTTTCGCAGTATTTAGCGCATAACGGCGTACTGGATTCTTCAAACCTTATTTGAACAACATTGGTCCACAAGAAATTCTCCACAGTGCTAGTACTAATGTTTGTGATATATAAAAAAGGCGTTATTTTGAATTAGAGTCGTAAGTCTTTTTGATATTTTTTGTATTTTGATGTATGCTCAAGTTTATTCTTCTTTCTTTTGGTGCAATTAGATGAGAATATTGATCATGAAAATTTTGGTAAAATAAATAAAGGATATAACTATACCAAATAAAACTCTGACAATAGAATACTGTGCATCTGGATAATACAACTAACATTTGACTAAATAACAGAGGAGGGATAAGTACAAGTACAGCAAGTACAAGCACAACTACTTGTATTTCAAAAATGTACTTGTATTTGCAATGGAAGTACATTTCAAGTACTTCAAGTACTTTTTGTTCATTAATACTTTTTTGTATTTTCCAATAGTTCTGAAATACTTTCTGGCGCTGTAGATCAACTCCAAGCATTAAGCATTTGCGTCTATATTCATGCGTATTGATCAGCTACCTTAACTATTACTCAGAAAACCAATGTGCCCTCTTCCTGCTGCACTATCGGAACTATCATATACGTATGGCTCGTGTTAGGCTGATAGTAGTATGGAATGACGGCTTTTGTTAACTTCTATTCTATCCGTTGAGCTCATGTGAGAATATCTTCTTTTTAACGCCTTGCTCGTTTGCAGTTGTGGCATCTTTAGAATGGTTACACACCCGTTCTTTGCTAAATATCTTAAATAAAAATGGTCTTGGAGTTAGAAAATATATCTGCTGATGAAAAAGTCATAATAAAAACTCAAGGAGGAACAGTCCCACTTCGAAGTGGAGTAAAATGGTTGAAGTGGCGCTTTTTTCTCTTTGTTAGAAGCAGTAGTTAAAATCGTCTGACACAAATAATCTAGATTAAATTCCATATATAAGCTAAAGAATATGTTGATTTACTCGTAAGAAAACTAAACTTCTAAATAGATCTTCAATCATGCGTGTCCGACAAGACGACATTATAAGTCCTGCTTGGCAGAAAACTCTTTCGACTAGTTCAGATGAAGCACGAGGAAAAGTATTAATGGACAAAAAGTACTTGAAATGTACTTCCATTGCAAGTACAAGTATTACACTCTATTGAGAAATAAAAATGGAAAATTTGGTGATTAAAAGTATCAAAACAATTGATACCCTTTTTCATATTCAAAATAAATTCTAACTAAGATTTCATTTAAAATATTCAAATCAGATTCCAATTTCAAATGAATTTCATTTTGTGATGTTTGTAAACATCCAATAACAGTTGACTAATTACACATAAGTTTCTTTAACATTTTAGCATCTTTTATTTCTTCAATTTCTTTCTCGGAAAATGTTTCTTCATTTACTTGCCAATTTTTAAATGTTTGTTGAAAATATTTTTTTTGTTAAATTATTTTAAATGCTCGTAATTGTTCTACTAATAATTTTGTATGAAATAATGATTCAGATAGATTATTTAATTTCTTTAGTTCAGTATTAATTTTTTCAATGTTTTCTACTAATTAGGCATGGAACAAGTCAACAGTTTTTCAAAGCTCATCAACGGCTTGTCCACGTAACGCGACACTTCGCTGATCAAGTTTTGTTTTTAATTTTTTTCATCGGCAAATCGATAGGAGCCGATCACCAGACGTAGTATTTTATGCTGATCACGAATTCGGCCTTTACTTTGAAAAGAAACTGAATTTTCGATTGAAAACTTTGAATTTAAAATTTCTCAAAAAATTTAGTTTTAATTTCCTCAGCTAGAGATTTTCGTAAAAAACCGAAAAATGCACCATCGAATAGAAAAATCAATTCTCTACAAAATGGTTCATTTTGTTTTGAGAAATATTTCTGAGTTGAGGCACAAGGGTTGCTCGCAAATTTGAACTTCCGGCTCAATTTAAAAGTTTCACGAAGCGTTTGGAACTTTATTTGCAAGTGGAGTATCTTCAGGAAGGCTAGAAGTACCCAAACTATAAGGATGAAGCTGTTTAAACAACGATGCCCTAAAATGGTGTGACAAAAAAGTGTGTCACAGCGTTACTTTCTGAGAGCGGCCTTTCTAGACGAACAAAAGAGTTTCGAAAAGACGTTTTCCACCATTGAATAGCCCGTTCTGCGCTCTACAAGTTTGACTCTTGAAAGTTTCCAGTTGAACAGATAAATGCCCAGGAAATCAGACTGTAATCAGATGTACCGAAAATTTAGGGCCTTTTTATGTCGCTGAGTTACTCACTACAAAAAAAATCTTTCTATAAGCTCGACACTTTAACCTAAAGACTTTGTCTTTCTATTCCAATTAGAATCAGCTAAGCTACATCGAATAATTATACATAGGCTTATATTATATACACATATTAAGAGATGCTTTATATAATAATATCGATGTATTGTACACGCGTACAAACAATTATGTGCAAGCTGAAGACTATATACAGAAAACACTTGAGATCAAACTAGCATCTTTCATTCTCTTCGGTCTTAAATTTTATTATCACTATTATTCGTTTTGGTATGTGGTCTACTGCCATAACATATTATCCTTGGAATAATGTACCAGGTTTGGTTTCTAATACCTTAAAGTAACATTTCAGATCATACAATTTAAATTTTAGGCTATTCAAATTTGTTTACTTCACCAATTACTTCTGTTCCTCCTATAACAACATTCTCAACTAATTACTCATATCTTCATCCAACTACTTCGTCAGTTAATAATTATCCTTTTTCTGATCCAAATTCTTATCCACCGTATACCTCATCGTCGTCTGATCCTCATACCCATGTAATCCCTACTCAACTTCCAAATTGTTTTAAATGCCGCTATCAATCTTCTCATCTAATACGGTGCTCATCATGTATAAGATATATTTGCAGAGCTTGTGTAACACCTGATTCATCACATTCATACACATGTATATTTTGTACAGTCAAACAATCAAACATGTTCCTCAATGACTTTTAAAATAAAGTTTTTTCAATTCACTTCATT